TGAGAGTGGCTATGGCTCAGACTGGTTTGCAAGGACTCTGAGGTCACCCGGCAGGTTGGTGTATGTCTGTCTATCTCGCCCGTCCCACTGTGTCCGGTGTCAGCTGTGTGTGGTCTCCAGGAGCCTCAGGAAACCAACGCCAGGGTCATCCTTCCTGAGCACCCAGCAGGAAGGAAGCCTGTGTTTGCCTGGTTGGCTGGAAGGGCGCCCTTGGCAGTTGGTCTCCAGCAGGAATTGGTCTCATGTTGCCTGGCTATGGGCACAAGGATTCCTGCCCAGCTGAGGCTGAGAGCCCTGCTGCCTGGGAGACAGAGCCCTGACCTGGGGAAGACCACCCTGTGTTCACTGCCCCAGTGCTTCAGGCTGGGGAGAACCCCTCAGTCATGTGACAGCTGGCTCGCCACCAAGAACCTGTGTGCTTGTCTCGTGGGCTCACTGTTTCTGCCATGTCAGGGTGGGACCCTAGGGCCTGAGGTGCAGGTCTCATGCCTTTCAGAATTTTCATGATTGAGTCTCATTATACTTTACTGCTTGCTTTTTCTTTGCATTCTCAAAGATTGTTCATAAGCCATTTTCCAATGGACCAATCCTAGGACCCCCTTCCACCCCCAACTGCCGAACCTCCTGTATGAACTCTTGCTCCTTTAAAGTAGAGTGTTCAGTTCTGAGCTAACCTGATCTCAGCTGGCACCTGATCTGGCCTCGGGTGCAGCTCTGTGGATGGATAGAGCGCTGACCACGTGCTCCGTCCTCAGGGACACATGCTGCCCACCACCCCAGCAGCCACCGTTTTTATATCTGGAAAGACAGAGAAAGAGGGACACAGATTTACATGTGTTCTGTTGCTCAGAATTCTTCCAAGTGATGGAAACTGTGATGGTCCCAGGGTGTGCCAAGCAGAGAGGAGAGAAGGAATGTGGGTGAATGGATGGATGGATGGGTGCGTAGATGGAAGGATGGATGGTGGGAGGAGGGAGGGAGGGATGAGTGGATGGATGTATGCATGCATGCATGGGTGGATGGTTGGGCAGGCAGATACATGGATATGTGGATGGATGGATGGATGGATAGATGGATGAGTGGATGATATATTACATGGATGGATGAGTGTTTGGGTGGGTATAGCTGGGTGAATGGTGAGTGAGTAGGTAGATGAATAGGTTAGCAGAGGTGGCTGCAATAGAAACAGCAATGATTGCAGGTTTAATGGGAGTAGAATGCCCATAAGAACATAGGAGCAGCTCTCCAGATGGAATCTGAGAGCAAGCCAGGTCATTCTGTTTGGGGTAATCAGGGTGACAGTTTAATGGAGAGAGCACATCGGGTGAGCCAGGCAGGAAAGCACTGGGAGCTGGACACGCAGTACTGAAGGGAGCTGTAAGGGAACCGGGTCCAGTCTTCTAGATCCTCTGCTTCTCCTTCTCCCACTTCCCCTGTACAAAGGGTTTTCTAGTTGTGAAATTTGGTGATTCCTCCTGGGCTTTTGTTGTTACCAGGCTGGGTGGCCCACTTGGAAGTGGGCAAAGAGGACTCCCCGGGGAGAAGCTGGGGTCACTCCACTGGGGCACGGGCAAGAGGGTGTGTGTGGAATGTTGCTTGCAAGTCCAGGTTCTGTGTTCCTTTGCGTGGGTGCTTTGCTTCCCTCAGCAGCGTGCGCGCGCGCACACACACACACACACACACACACACACACACGCTGATTTCTGACTTCCCACCTGATAGATTGATCAGTTGATACATGATAGGTGGTACATAGATAGATAAATACAAACTGGTAGTTAGACAAGTACAAACTATTTTTATTTCAAAAGCAGAGGTACAGAGAGAAGGAAAGACAGAAATTTCCCATTTTCTGGTTTACTTCCCAAATGGCCACAGCAGCCAGAACTGGGCCAGTCTGAAGCCAGGAGCCAGGAGCTTCTTCCGGGTTTCCTGTGTGAATGCTGGGACCTGGGCAGTTTGCTGCCTTCCTAGGCACACTGGCAGGGAGCTGGATCAGAGATGGAGCCGGTGCCCAAGCCAGGGCCCACATGGGGTGTGGTGCTGCAGGTGGCACACCACACTGTTGGCCCTGATACATGTTTTATTTGCTCAGAAGAGATGTATTGTGGCTATACCTGTATTTATGATCCAGAAATTGAGGCAGTCTTGTCGGGTAGTCAAATCACAAAATCTAACTTCTTTACCTAGAGCCTAGAATATACTGACCTCAGCTAAATTTATTTTATATTCCACTAAATATGATATGAAAAGTTTAAGAGGGCTTTGTAATTATGATTACATTTAAATAAATAATGTAATTATTAATATATAATGGATGATTTTAGTGTCTGTAACAACAGTGTCATGCATTAAGACAGGAAAACATTGGGTCAAAAAAAATTTTTAGCCGTATGTCCTAGTGTTTGCCCTGCACGTTACAGTTCCCACAGCTCAGATAAGACTCCCCCAAGTGACCTCGGTGTTTGAATCTGCCTCCCCATTCCTTCCCACAGTCAGTGGCCGGCAGCGAGACATAGGGGCACGGGCCGTGCCTGCAAGCTGGTGGACCTCCTTTCTTCCTGTTGGCCAATTTGTCTTGTAAATAGTGGCCGTGGAGAGGCCGTGGTCTCCAGCTTCCCACGGAACCCTGTGCGGCAGCTTGAACAGGCGCATAAAAATAGATGGCTTGGGAAATGGCTGGTGACCCTCCACCCTTTCTCTGAGCAGAGGAAGTGGAAGCTGAAGGGAGACCTAGGGTGACATTCCTGAGCTCCCAGGAGGATGCGCACATGCCCTGTGCAGCAGCAGCCCCCGCCGGGAGTCTCACCCTGTGCCGACAGACCCTGTGGGGGGCAGGGCTGTGTGGCCTTGAGAGGGTGGTCTGGCCCTGCAGCTGCTCCTCCTCCCAGGCCTTGCAGAGCACCCATCACCCCCAACTGTGGTCCCCATCTTCCCTCCTGCTGCAGTCCGGGTGCTGGTCCCGAACTCCTGTAGGGAGGAAGGAAGGTTAACTCCACGTTGGCGTGTCGGGCAGGGAGGTTAACTCCACCTTGTGTGTAGGGCAGCGAGGTTTACTCTGCTGGCTTGTGGGACTGGGCCTTTGTGAAAATAATTCAGTTATGGTTGATCCTAAGGGTAAGGCCTGGTGATTGGAGGGGAGAGCCGTGCAGCCACACACATTTCAATGCGACACAGCCAGGGACCCCAGCCAGAGCCTGCCCTGTGCTGTTTGGGCTTGGAACCTGTGGAATTGTAAGCCGGGTAGGCGTCAGCTGCTTTTCTGTAAATCCAGCAAGCCGACAAATGAATCTGCCTGGCAGAGGTGGTGGTTGCTAGTGGCTTGGGTGGGGAGAGCAGGTGTCCCAGAGGGTGGCGGCAGAGCCTGTCCCCCACTTAGTAGAGATTGCACCTGCAGCTCAGCCCCAGTCATCCCTGTGCACCTGCTGGCTGCAGAGCTCCAGTCTTAGCCCCCATACCCATCCCTGGGTTTGACATCATTTTTTAAAGCTCTTTTATTTGGAAAATCAGAGTTACAGCACACGCTTCCATCTGCTGGTTCACTCCTCAGATGGCACAGTGATTAGGACCCTGGTCAGGGGCCAGGAGCTTCCTCTAGGTCTCCCACGTGGGTAGCAGGAGCACAGATACTCGGGGCATCTCCCAAGCCGTTAGCAGGGAGCTGGGCTGGAAGTGGCGCAGCCCAGGACTCTAGTCAGGATATATATAGTATACCCCAGGCAGCGGCTTTACAAGCTAAGCCACAGCAGGTTAGGTTGGGCATTCTTACCTGTACCTGAACCGGAAGTGCCAGGTACACCTCCTCCACCCAGCTCCGTGGGCTCTGCAGGTCACTGTTTCTAGAGGGGCTATAACCCTAGGCAGAGGTTGAACATTCTCGGTCTTCCTCCCTTACCTCTTCTGGCCCCGCAGGCTTCTGTCTTACACCCTCTAGATTCCCGGTAGGGACAATGGACAGGGACACTTGGGTGACCCAAGCTGTGCGTCCCGGTCCACGAGATTGCACAGCCCAACGAGCAGGGACGGAGTGGAACCGGACTGCAGCCTGAAGCGATGGGGTCAGGGATGACTCCGCTGACTGGGAGAGTGGCCCTGTGCCCTCTGACCTGCAGATTTCTCTTGGAGAGCTCCGTGCTGTGGGCCTGAGCGCATGCTTTGCTGATGGCTACCAACTATGGTGACCGGCAGTTACCACACCGTCAGTACGTATCTGCCACGCGTCTGGCTTTTAAAGGACATTGGATCAACAAGAGAATTAAGTGGGCAGAAGGCTGCTCCTGCAGAGGGCACTAAAGCCCGTGGCCTCCTGACGCACTGCCCGCCCCAGTCTCCAGGATGCGTGCTGAGCACATCTAAGGTTCAAGTCTACCTTGATGTGACGGGAGAGAGGACACCACCTTTTCTCGAAATGAAACTGTCATGACTACACACCTCCTGGATGTGAGAAGCCAGCAAACCTGAGGGGGTGATCAGCAGAAGTGGGCGCTGACCCAAGTGCCAGTGGTCCCTCAGGTCAGGGCAGCCACACCACACCATGGACTGACGGCATTAATTGCTGGTCACCTCAGGTGGTAGCCATCAGCAGAGTATGCACTGTCACCTGACCGTCCATTGACAGCAGGACAGAGGGGAGGCCACACTCCACCCACGGAAGAGCACTGACCCTCACCATTGCAGGGGGCTCTTGCGTTTTGCAGAGAAAGCTGCCACTTTCTGGATGCCCTGACAGCCCAGCTCATGAATCGGCAGTGCCCGCCAGTGTCTGTCAGCTGCTAGTTCACACCAGTCTGGTCAGCCCAGCTCATGCCCGGCCAGCAGCCCAGGAGATACGGCGGTCACTGAGCTGGAGTCTTCCCTAGGCCACCTACCCTTCCCACCCATCGTGACTGAGAAGACATCTTGGTGTGGCCAGTGGCAGCCAGCAGCTGCAGGAGCTGACACTTGGGGCCCTGCTGTGGCTGTTCAGGTCCCTGAGTGAAGCCTCTGTGTTTGCCCTGCAGAGCCCCGAGGCTGCCCCGAGAGCCTGGGTCACACCGTGGGAATGTCAGAGAGACCCCTGGGTCCTGTGCCCACCATGCTGGGGGCCGATGCCCCTGGAGCGCCCAGCTTCCAGCAGACATTTGCGTCTTCCTGCAAGATCTCCAGCAATGGCCCTGGCCCCAGGAGAGAGAGGTGAGAGCTCAGCTGGGGGAGGGTGCCAGGGCTGGAGACCACTCAGCAGCCGGGAGACTCCGGCGGGCACACCTAGATGCTGGAGCCTTGCTCCGGTCATGGTGACAGCCTTGAGTGACGGGCCAAGGCCCGGCAAGGACTCCGGGGTGGGGGGCAGTGTCGCCGTGGACGGGCTGGGACAGGCTGAGAGGACAGCAGACAACAGTCACCAGTGCTGTCCTTGTGAGGCGTGGGTTGAGTGTTTCTCCCTCTTCCCTGCCTCCTTTAATTGGAAAGTTGGAATTAGAGAGGGAAGGAGGGAGCAGCTCAGAGATCTTCATCCACTGATTGCTCTCCAGGCCGGGCAGGAGGCAGGGGCTTCCTCCATGTCTCCCGTGTGGGTGCGGAGGCTCCAGCGCTTGGGCCATCCTCTGCTGCTTTCCCAGTTCATAAGCAGGGAGCTGGGTAGGAAGTGGCGTCACCGGGCCACAAGCCGGTGCCCACATGGGAAGCTGGCACTGCAGGAAGCAGCTTTATCTGCTACACAGTGCGCATTAGCTAAGATTTTCGCATGGCAGTTGGCTGTAGGGGCTGTGGGGGATGGGGATGAGGGGCCGGCCCTGCTTCCCTGGCTGCTCGGCGTTGCAGGCCTCCACGTGGGGGACAGTGGGAACTTTTGAAGGGTCTCCTGGTACCTTATATTGTCTTATGGCTTCTTTGTCTTGGAACAGCCCGTCTTCTGCAGACCGTCCGTGGTTGGAGAGCAGCCCCAAGGCCAGCCTTGCCCTGCTGGGAAACAGCCGGCCCGCAGGAGGCCCCCTCGGCACCCACACATTCCCCGGTTCCAGCCAGGACCCCACGGGAGTGTCCTGCGTCCCGCCCTCGGAGTTCCAGGCCTCTTTCCACAGCCATGAGCTGCCCCTGGTGGAGCCACCCGATGCCCTGTGCACCCCCAGTGGCCAGGCCTTCCTAGGCTTTGGTGCTGCCCCCGGGGGTAGTGGTCTTTCATCCAGGGAGGACCTGGATACCGCACGGGCCAGTTCCCTCGGAGCATCCCCCGTGCCTGGCACCCCGCTGACCGCAGCGAGCACCACTGACCACAGCCTCCTGACCCACAACTTCCTCACTGCGGCCTCGGGACACGGCCACCACAGTCCCGGACTGCCAGGCCAGGGGCTGAGCCTACCTGGGCAGCCACCCCTCCCAGAGAAGAAGCGGGCCTCAGAAGGGGACCGCTCCTTGGGCTCTGTGTCCCCCTCATCCAGTGGCTTCTCCAGCCCCCACAGCGGCAGCACTGTGAGCATCCCCTTCCCCAGCACCCTGCCCGACTTCTCCAAGCCGTCATCGCCGGACGGGACCCCGCTGCTGCCAGGTACGGGTGTGGCCCCCCTCTGTCCACTTGCTCAGGCGGTAGGGGGTTGAGAGCTGCAGGTGGGAGCTGAGCTGCACGGGCCAGCCCTCTGCCAGCAGGATCGAGGGCAACAGAGTTGGGCACCAGTGTGTGTGCGGAGCCGCTGGCGCCTGCACTGGTCGGCTTGAGGCCCTCACCCGCAGCAGTGTGCTGGCACGCGCACGGCTTGTGCTGCATGTTCCCTTTGCAAATACCTTTCTTTTTTCATGTCACATGAATTCATCTAAAAATTAATGCTGAATTATTCCAAGTGCCTCTATGAAATGAGACCAGCCTTTCTGTGGCTTTTTCCTGTAAGGTATTTATTATTTGCAAGGTGGAGTTAGAGCGAGCAAGCTTCCATCCCCTGGTTTGTTCGCAGAGAGCTGCATGGTTTGTCCCTAGGTAGTTTCTTCCCCAGCCAGGGCTGGGACAGACTGAAGCCCGGAGCGTATCTGGATCTCCTACCTGGGTGCAGCGGCCCCAGCCCGTGAGCCCACCTCTGCTGCTTTCCCAGGCACATTAGTGGGAGCTGGACGGGAAGTGGAGCAGCTGGGTCTGAAATAAGCACCCATAGGAACGCTGGCATTGCAGGTGGCAGCTTTTCCCAGATGCCTCAACACTGGCTCCTCTCTGCTTTCACACGCAGGTCACCAGGTCCTTGTCACAGTGTCCGCTGCCGTGTCCCAGGGTGTGGAACGGCTGCTTCCTCCACCTTGGGCAGGGCAGACGAACTTTTCCTTCCTTGGGGCAGTCCCATCCCCAGGGCCCTCGACAGAGGGCCATTCCAGGTGAGAGGCTGTCATTCACGCGTTTCCTGCCATGGTTTTACAGACAGTCCAGGCGACAAGATGGTGATCGTGAAATTTGTCCAGGACACATCCAAGTTCTGGTACAAGGCGGACATCTCCAGAGAACAAGGTGTGTGCTGGACCCCTGTGCTGTGTGGGTCACCCTCAGGCCATGTGACCAGAGAGTGAGGCAGCAGGCAGGGGGGACCAGTGCCCCCTGCTGTGTCCCTGGACCCGTGGCTTGGAGGTGGTGTGGGGAGACAGGGGCGAATCCCCAGGAAGTGAGAGGGTCAGGAGCTGCAGCATGGCTGGTGGTGGAGAGAGGCCACGGGGCCGTGTCCTGACCTCAGCTCCACTTCAGAGGCAGTCTTCCCGGGACAGCCTCTGAGGCGCCCGGGTGCCTGCTGGGCTTTCTCACTGGAATCCCGCCTCTGGCCATGTAGCCAACGGAGATGGTCAGAATGTGCGGCTTTCCCCGGCAACCCAAAGAGCCTACTGTGCTTGTGACTGGCAGAGAGCGGAGGACGCCCGCCCGTGGCCTGCAAAGACAGGGCTCGCCCTGAATCGGCCTTTGTGCGAGGCTCGGCCCCAGGCCAAGGCCTCTGTGCTGCGAGGCGCCGTGTGCCCGAGGCTGTGGCCTCCCACACAGCAGCGTGGCTGGCCAGCACGAGCTCCATGTTCTGGGACAGCACTGGGAGCCAGTTCTCCATCCAGGGCCATTTAGACGTCAGTGACGGCATTTGCAGGCCATACAAGATTATCAGCTTAGACGTTGGCCTGCTGTAGACTTTATTGCGAGGCCGCCTGTGGTTTTCTTGGTAGGCCTAGACCAAGTGATGTCACTGGCCTTGTAAGACGCATGGGCCACATGTCCCCCATCTTCCTGTTCTAGAAGATTCTGTGCCTATCCTCCTACTCCAGGTTCCAGCCTGAGGTGGTGTGCGGGGCAGGGCTGCCCCTTCTTGAGTGCAATGGACAGAGGGGTCACACCTGTGGGATTTCCAGGCTGCGCAGACATGATGTTCCCTTCTCCCAGGTGCCGGAGGCACTGCGGGGGCCCGGGCTTTTGCTGTTACTGAGTGCCTGGAACCAGGAGTTTGTGGAAGACACAGTATGGCCATGACATGCAGAGCCACGGGCTAGGAAACCCCAGCTGGGTCTGGGTGCCTCTTTCTGCTGTGGCCACTTGAGGCTGCAAGCAGACAGGGAGGCAGGGTGGCCAAGCCCTGGGGCAGTGGTGGTCACCTGTTGTTCACAACACAGTGGACGCTCAGACCTGTCCCCTCTCGCAGCCATCGCCATGCTAAAGGACAAGGAGCCTGGGTCGTTCATCGTGCGTGACAGCCACTCCTTCCGTGGTGCCTACGGCTTGGCCATGAAGGTGGCCACACCACCCCCATCCGTCCTGCAGCTGAACAAGAAAGGTGGGTGCTGCACGGGGTCCCCCTGCTCCCCTCCCTGCTACAGCCAGGCGCTCGTGGCTTCTCTTCCATGGTTCTTTCTCCAGGGGTGCCTTGTGAAAGTCCTTCTGGGGCCAGCTCCGGGCCCCATTCATACTGTGCCATAGCCTCTGTCTCGGGTCAGCTTGCTCCTCGGGTGGCTGTGGGGCACCCACTGTCCTGTGCTCTCTTGTACTGTCAGCTGCCGTGCCAGTGGACACACCCTCCCAAGGCACCGTGTGGTGGTATGGTTGTTTTCTGTATCGGGTGGGCATGTCGATTGATTGGAAGTGACACTTGTGTAGCCCTTGAGGAGCTCCCTGCCCCAGCACGGCCTGGATAGAGCTTTGGGGTGTGAGTGGAGCGGCAGCAGGTGGAGGTGTCTGTGCACATGCCTGCATTCCATCCCACCTGGGAAACGGAGTCCTCCAAACGCCTGGCCACGACTGATGCTGCAGCCCTCCCAACCTCCTGGAGCAGCAGAAGAACTGGACCCGTGGGCTTTTTCTGTCAGTTTCTATAGATTTGTTTTCACAATAGCCAGGATGGGCCAGGTGCCTCAGTGGCAGGTGGCTGGGAGCGTCGCAGCTTGATAACCCAGCACCTGTTGCCTCCTGCGGGTATGCATTGGCAAGAAGCCGGGTTGGAAGCTGAGGAGCCAGGACTCAGAGCAGACACTCCCAGTGAGGACATGGGCATTCCGAGTGGCATCTACAGCCGTGCCAAACATCCGCTCCCTGGAGTCCTCTCTGAGCAAGCCCCTTGGAGAGGACTCCTTCAGCCAGCATTGTCACTGCAGGGTGCTGCCACGCCCCTGCCCAGGCACACACAGCTGCCCTGTCCACGCACACCCAGCTGCCTTAACCAGGCACACACAGCTGCCTTGCCCAGGCACACCCAGCTGCCCTGTCCACGCACACCCAGCTGTCCCTGACTGTGCACACTCACCTGTCCCACCCATGCATACCCACCTGCCCCCCGACTCACCCACCAGTCCCCATTTGTGCACACCCAGCTGTCCCACTTTGCACACCTGTCCCGCCCATGCATACCCACCTGCCGTACTCATGGACACTCACCTGACCCCACTCAAGCACACACAGCTGCCCTCCCACACACAGCCAGCCTGGGTGACTTGAGAAGGCCCAGGACGTGCCTGGCCTCCGCTCAGCGCCTTGGCAAACGCCACTCTTGGCTGCACGGCTCCTCTCTCCCACGTTCCCTCTCTTCCCAGCCCTGAGCAGTCTTCATTTTGTCCTTCTTTTCTCCCGATTTCTGACCCCAGGTGGAGACTTGGCCAATGAGCTCGTCCGGCACTTCCTGATCGAGTGCACCCCCAAAGGAGTACGGTTGAAAGGCTGCTCCAACGAGCCCTACTTCGGTGAGCAGCCAGGCCTGGGCAGCGTGGCTCTCTGCTCGCTCACCTGCCATCGGGTCATGGTGCCTTACTCGTCCTGTGGTCCCCATTCTGAGATGCCCCTAAGCTGGTTTGTGATCTTTCATTTAAACTGGTTATAAAAATGTTCCTAGAAGCTTTATTAAAACCTAAGAAAAAGCCCCAGGCTAGGACCGGAAGTCCTAGACAGGCCGGGGGCTATGGTGTAGAGGACCAAGCCACCCCTACAGGGTTGACATCCCATATGGACACCAGTTCAAGTCCTGGCTTCTCCACTTCTGATATAGCTCCCTGATACTGTGCCTGGGACAGCAGTGGGAGGCGGCCCAGGTGCTTGGATCATTGCACCCACTTGGGAGGCCTGGATGAAGCTCCTGGCTTGGGCCTGGCCCAGCCCCACTCAGCCATTACAGTCATTTGGGGGAGTGACCCAGCATGTGGGTCCCTCTTTCTGTAACTCTGCTTTTCAAATAAATAAAAATTAAAAAGTCATGGATATGTGTAGGGTGCCCTCGTGGTTAGGTACCCTTCCTCATGGCACATGGGCCACAGGGCTCTCAGCAGCGGGACCCCCTCCCCTGCCGTGGTCCAGGCTTGCAGACCCCGTGTCCTCATACCCTTTGGGACCGCAGTGTGGTAAGAGCTGGGCTTCCCTGGGAGCTGTCTGTAGCTGTCTCTGCCCGCTGCTCCCTGTCTTGTTCGGAGTGTGCATGCCGCATTGTGCAGGGCACTGGGCTGCGAGCAGAAGGCTTGCCCCGGCAGCAGTGCGGTTGGAGCTCACCTGCCGTGGGTGTTGACTCCTGTTTGCTTCTGTCTTCCGCAGGGAGCCTGACGGCCCTCGTGTGCCAACATTCCATCACGCCCTTGGCCTTGCCCTGCAAGCTGCTCATTCCTGAGAGAGGTACTGGGCCAGGTCCTTAGGACCATCTGCTCTGGGGGGTCTTGGGAGGTCACTGTTTTACAAGTGTCTCCTGGCATGTGCTCTGGGGGTCACCGGGAGAGGCTAGAGCCTTCGGGGCAGTGCTCTTAGGAGCCCAGAGCCCGATGCTTCGAAATATAAACCCCTGGACATGAGGCTGTCAGCATCCCTGCCATTGAACTTCTGAGATCCTGAGACCAACATGGTCATGCTGCCTGCAGGTGACAAGCCATCTGCTCCCCTGCTTTTAGCCGCATCACCAGAGGCTCCCGAGAAAGGAGGAGCTTAGAAAGCACGCCGGGCACTTTGACATGTGGCCCAGGTTTGCTGAGCCGTGTCTGGCTCCCATGAGGTAAGACACAGGGCCAGTGGACCTCTTGAAACTGACCCGTGCAGCTAAATTCATGCCAAGTTGAGACTCAGCTGAGCCACGTCACCCCATTTTCTGTTCCAAATGGGGTCACAGTTTCCACATACTCTGGGGTTTCTGTCCCCAAGGGAGAGTTTCCAAGAGCCAGGCCTGGCTGGCTGCAAGGATTCCAAGGAGTGGGGTTTACATCTGCCTTTTCTTTGCCTGCAGACCCGCTGGAGGAAATCGCTGAGAGTTCTCCCCCGACGGCAGCCAACTCGGCGGCTGAGCTGTTAAAGCAAGGCGCAGGTTGGTGCAGTGCGGGGTGCCCGTGACTATCAGGGTGCCCTCTTGTCCATGGCAGCCAGGATGCGTCTTCTTGTGGCTCACACAGGGCAGTGCGCTCAGCCATCGGGAGCCGTGTGCAGAGCTCCAGGGCTGCAACAGGGTCTGGGTGGAGCGAGGCTGGCACTGGTGCCAAGTTTGGTGCTCAAACGCACAGGAGGACGGGATGTGGGTGGCCTGTACTGCCAGCTGCAAATGCTAAAGCCTTCCAGAGAACTGAGTCAGCCACCAGCCACATTGCCATCTGCCCTGTGAGGAAGTGAGTCAGCCACCGGCCACGCTGCCACGCGCCCAGTGAGGACGTGAGTCAGCCGCTGGTCACTCTGTCATCTGTCCAGGGAGACGGCCACACCCCTGACTTCTCCTGAGAAGGCAGGCTGCCTAATTTTAGGAAAAATCTCACCACTAGGTTTTACTTCTTGAGCTTGTGCAGATTCATAGAACACCAAGAGGCAGGTGCACAGCTGCCCACCAACACCGCGCCCCGCCAGGGTGACCCGTTGGTGGTTCCTGACATTGCATGTGCTGCAAGTTTGAACAAGTGTGCGTGCACACTGGCCTATGTCTGCTGCTTCTGGGTCCTGCTGAAGGCTGTCATTGCCCACACGTCCCTGTCCCGCCCAGCCCTGGGCAGCCACTGCTCCCTCACTGCTCACTGCCTTGCAGGCTTTGCTCTGTAATCACTGGGCTTGGAGTTGGAGTCAGGCAGTGTGTGGCCTTGGCTGTGTGGTTTCTTCACTCGGTGCCGTGTGTGTTAGTCACTAGCGCCTTCGTTGGAGTGGAGTCGCGTGTGGTTTGTGTATCCGTGCACCTGCGCCAGGCGTCCTGGCCGTTTCCGAGGCTTGGCAGACACAGTGGAGCTACGTGAGCATCCGTGTGTGGCTGGCTGTGTGGGTAACTACCAGGGACTCGGGGACTTCATGTCAGGAGCTGGCTTGGCAAGAAACTTCAGAACCATTTTCCAGAGCAGCTGTGTGACGCTGCCTCCGGCCAGCTGGGCCTCAAGCCCCTGTCGCTGCAGGTCCTCCCCAGCATTTGGCCGTTGTGAATGAGACAGACGGTGCCACTGCTGTTCCTGCGTGACTCCTTGGTGCCGTGGCCGCGGCCATCTTTGCTACCCCTGCTTGTCTCCCTGAGATAGAAGGTCTGTGGCCCACAGCACACTGGGCTTTCCCTCTTGTTACGGTCGAGCTTTGAGAGTCCCTTGTCCTGGAGTGGAGCCCCTTTACCAGGCATGTCATCTGGGAGGCTGTCCCTTCCTCTGGCTTGCCGTTTGGACAGAGCAGAAGGGCCGGTTCTGAGGTGGCCCAGCTAGTCAGTGCTGGTCTTCTTGAACTGCTAGCCAGTGATGGAGTGAGTTGTCCTGCTGCCAGGCCGGGCCGGCCTGCTGCTAGAGCTGGGCTGGGCGGGGCGGGCATGCTGCTCCTAGGGCTGGGCTGGGCGGGGCGGGTATGCTGCTCCTAGGGCTGGGCTGGGCGGGGCGGGCATGCTCCCTGAGCTGGGCTGGGCGGGGCGGGCATGCTCCCTGACTGGGTTGGACCGTCCTGCTCCTAGAGATGTAAGAGCTGTCTCTTCTTCTGGCTGCGTCACCTTTAAGTATGTATTTGTTTAAAGTGATGTATGAATCTGGATCCAGTTCTTTATTTTATTTGAAAGAAAGAGGGAGATACATGCCTGCAGGTACACACATCCAGGCACACACATGCAGGTACACGCGTGCAGGTACACACCTCCAGGAACACACGTGCAGGTACACACATCCAGGCACACACGTGCAGGTACACACATCCAGGTACACGCATGCAGGTACACACATCCAGGTACACACGTGCAGGTACACACATCCAGGTACACACGTGCAGGTACATACATCCAGGCACACACGTGCAGGTATACACATCCAGGTACACATGTGCAGGTACACATGTGCAGGTACATGCATCCAGGTACACACGTGCAGGTATACACATGCAGGTACACACATGCAGGTACACACGTGCAGGTACACGTGTCCAGGCACACACGTGCAGGTACACACGTGCAGGTACACACATGCAGGTACACACGTGCAGGTATACACATGCAGGTACATGTGTGCAGGTACACACATCCAGGCACACACATCCAGGTGCACATGTGCAGGTACATGCATCCAGGTACACACGTGCAGGTATACACATGCAGGTACACACATGCAGGTACACACATGCAGGTACACACATCCAGGTACACATGTGCAGGTACATGCATCCAGGTACACATGTGCAGGTATACACATGCAGGTACATGTGTGCAGGTACACACATGCAGGCACACACATCCAGGTACACATGTGCAGGTACATGCATCCAGGTACACACGTGCAGGTACACGCATGCAGGTACACACATCCAGGTACACGCGTGCAGGTACACACGTGCAGGTGCACGCATCCAGGTACACACATCCAGGTACACGCGTGCAGGTACACACACCCAGGCACACACATGCAGGTACATGTGTGCAGGTACACACATCCAGGTACACACGTGCAGGTACACGCGTGCAGGTACACAGATGCAGCCCCCTACATGAGAATTCTCCCTCTTCTGGTTCATTCTTCAAGTGGCCCCAGTAGCCAGGGCTGGACCAGACAGGAGCCAGATGCCCAAGCACTTGAGCTGTCCCCTGCTGCCTTCCCGGCCATTTTAGCAGGGAGCTGGATTGGAAGTGGAGCAACCAGGACACGAACTGGTGTCCATGTTGGAGGCTACGCTTTCAGTAGGTGGATGAACCTGTTGAGCCATAGCATGGGCCCCAGGGATGCATTTGCTTAGAGGTCAGACTTCACTCAGACCCCAAGATCTCATTTAATCACCCAAATTGGGGATTCATAAGCGAGTCTTGAAATACCGCTGTCCTGAGCTTTGTTCCTTTATGACACGCTCTGTCACATACTAGGTGCATTTCGGTTTGGTTTATCTCCGCCGAGGCTCTGTGGGAGGAGTGAGGCTGCGGTTGCAATGGCCCTGAGCAGGTGCCAGCAACACAGGGGTGGGGAGGGGGCAGAGGGCATCAGACTGCATGCAAGAGCAACAGTGACTCCCACGAGTGCGTGGGTGGGTGGGTTTTCTGCACCCTTCTCTCTGCTGTCCTCATAGCCACTCCTTGGCAGTGCCAAGGCCACGTGACTTCACTCGGAAGCAGTCCCTGTCTGTGCTGAGCCCGCCCCGTTCTTGTTCCTTGTGGCATCCCCCTGGAACACGAGGCCCTGCTGCATCTCCACACAGCTGCCCTACAGGCGTCGTGGCCATGTGAGACTGCTCTCTAAACAGGGGAATGCAGAAAAGTCCGTGCCACACTGTCCCATGGCGACCTTTTCCGGGGGACTGTACAGCCAGGCACAGGCCTCGGGTTTCCAGGAATGGGTAAAGGTCTGTCAGTTGCCCATGTGCCACGTGTGGCGGGCGCTTTGTGTTGCTGTAGCAGGTGTGTTAGGCCAGGTGCATTGCATGGCACAGAGGTGCCTGTGGTTCATGGTTCAAGAGGCTGAGTGGGCAGTGGCACAACGTGATGGATGGCAGGTGCACGTGAGAAGAGCGAGCATGTGACCTTGTGAGAAGAGAGTCGGGGGAGCAGCTGGCCACGGGGTACTTGCTCTGGCAGCAGCTTACCTGTCTTACAGGGCTAGCATTGGCTAGGCGTCAGCACCCCCATGGCCCACAGCATCAGGAGGGTCGGGGGCTGCTCCCACGCATGGGGGGGGGGGTGAGGGGACTCTTGGCTGAATGATTTCCCCTCCCAGAATTCTGGATTGGTGCTTCAAAGAGAGCCCCGGGGCACCTGGCTTGGAATGCCTGGGCGCACGCCCTCTGCCCTGACTGCCTTCTCCCAAGAGGAGCAGATGTGGGCCACCGAGCTGCAAGCCTTGGGGACCCTCTGGTATCAGATTGCCCCTGGCGGTCCTCTGTTGCTGAGTCCCCCCAGCTGTGCTGTACAAGGCGGCCTGGCAAGGGACCAAGCTGAAGGCAGAGCTCGAGGGAAGCCGCAGGTGGCTGGCTCCACTTCGGCATCTCACAGGCACTTATGCTGCTGTCGCCGCTGTTCCGGTTCCGTGCTGTTCTGCATGTTGTGGGGTGATCCCCGCTCTGCGCTGCTGCTTGGATTCTTGGTCTTCTGTGGAGAAAAGTAACTTCACCCGTTCCTGACCATGGCCACGATGGTTCTGGCTCTTCCTGGTGCTGTCAGTGTGTGGCACCAACGTGTGTCGCTAGGAGCGCTGAATCCTGGGCAGTGCAGTGTATCATTTCTGACTCTTCAAAAGTGGAACCGATAGCTGACTTCCCTCCCCTTTCAATTCTTACAAATTACCAAAAGTTAAAGCCAAATGTATTATCCAAATCAGTCCAAACTTCATCCTGCACCTGCTCGTCTCCTGGTCCCACACTTCTCAGTGAGGCCCCTGGAGGCCACCCCTGCCTGAGCTCCAGGCCGTGCGGCTGTTGTGGTTTCTGCTGAAGACCTCAGGACCTCTTGGTCTGTGACTGTTGTTGAGTCTTTGTGCTGCCAGGCCTCGTTCAGACCCACGCCGAGGCCACAGCTGGGACACAGCAGCTCTAAGACTTCGGCAGGCTGGATGGACCACCCCCCTTAGCAGGGAGGACAGAGCCAGGCTTGTTACCTGTTCGTTCTGGCTTGGTGTTGGAGCGAGCGTGTCTGAAGTCCTTCCCTTTCCACAGCTTCAGGTCAGAAGGCGAAGGTTGTTGGCCTGTAAAGGGTCAGGCACCAGTGCGCAGTGTCACCCGTCAGCCTCACATGGGTTCCCATGTGGCCCCCTTGCTCTCTTGCAGCCTGCAACGTGTGGTACTTGAACTCAGTGGAGATGGAGTCGCTGACCGGGCACCAGGCTGTGCAGAAGGCCCTGAGCCTCACTCTGGTGCAGGAGCCGCCACCCGTGTCCACAGTCGTGCACTTCAAGGTGTCAGCCCAGGGCATCACCCTGACCGACAACCAGCGGAAGTGAGTGGGGCTGGGGCCGGCGTGGGGCCGCCTCCTGGCTCTTCCCTGGGGAGTGTCGCTGGGGAATCCTTGCTGAGGGGTCCTGAATGGAGCCGCAGTCACACTGCCCTCCTGTCCCCACAGGCTCTTCTTCCGGCGCCACTACCCTGTGAGCAGTGTCATCTTCTGCGCTCTGGACCCGCAGGACAGGAAGTAAGCCATGGGTGGCCCCGGACCGTGATGGTGCCTCATGGTACTGTGGACCCTGCACGCTAACATGGTTTTTCTCTCTTTCATTTGCAAGGTGGATCAAAGACAACCCCTCCTCCAAGTGAGTGCCCCAACTACTGTGTCCTCTCCAGGGGCGGCTGCTCAGAAAGCCACCGGATCATGGCCATGGGCGGGTACCCCTGGGCACAGCCGGTGGCATGGATACACATACACTCAGCATGAACATCCTTTGTGGTGCCAGGATGTGGAGAACAGTTTGATCCCCTACAGGATTGTGGGCTGATGTGGCACCAGGGTCCCCACGGGCAACCCTGCTGTGGGGTTCAGCTTGCCACCATGCGGAAGTGGGTGGTCCTACCGCCAGCAGCCAGAGCCTTGGTAGGGGGCGTCCCTCCAGAGGTGGAGGGTTTTCCAGGTGCTCCGTGTGCCTGTGCCCTGCTCAGCCCGGCCCCCTTCAGGTTGGCATTGCCATCGAGACTCTGGACCCCGCTGGGCTGGCTTAGCCTGGTCGGGGGCTGGTAGTCACAAGTGTGCAGCATCGGCCCTCTTCGCTGGCACTGTTGCTGCATGGCTCCCCGGTGGGGCTCATGGGCTGGGTACAGCCCCCTCTGCCACGCAGGGGGGACCCTGAAGCCCTCGGGCAGTTGTAGTTGGCTGCCCTGCATGGCCCTTCCCTCCCTGCGGAACACAGAGATGAGACAAGCAGGCCTTCATTCTGGCCAGGGCTTGGACGTGGACAATGGACATGATTGTGTTCTGTGGAAGATGGCGGCTCTGGGTCTTACAGCAACTTCCTTGGCTGTGCCCGCTTGTAAGCCACTGCTTGTCAGCCACTGCGGTGAGCCCTCTGTGGCTCCCCCTGGCCGTGTGGGGATGTGCGTGCTGAAGTGAGCACTCAGAGAGCAGGGAGCCCCGTCTCCACAGAGATGACTGATGTGCCCTCCGGGATCTGGGGATCCTGCCCTGTGGAGGACTGCCTGGGGCAGTCACACCTGTCATCATCGCCAGCTGCTGGCTGTGTTGGGACTCAGGCGTGGCTGCAGGTCTGAAGGCTGGAGGTGTGGTGCCTGGGCAGTGCCAGACTGGTGCTTAGCAGGAAGTGGGCCCTTGGTGTGGGGAGGCTGCCATCCTCCCTGTGCTGCTGCAGGGAGAGCAAGCCTGGGCTCCTGTGCCCGTTGGGCGCCCTCACCTGCAGCTTCTTTTCACAGAGTCTTCGGATTCGTGGCTCGGAAACAGGGCAGTGCCACAGACAACGTGTGCCACCTGTTCGCAGAGCACGACCCCGAGCAGCCAGCCAGCGCCATCGTCAACTTTGTGTCAAAGGTCATGATTGGCTCCCCAAAGAAGATCTGAGAGCCCCTCGCAGGCCAGCCGCGCCGCCGCCCAGAGCCCGGGCCAGCAGTTGCTAGCGAGGCGTTGGCCCTCACCTTGTACCAGACTGATCGTGACGACCTTCTGGGCCCTGGCAGGAGGGCCTTGTGGCTCCACGGACACAGAATAAGTGACCCCAATTGGCCCTTCTTGCGAGTGGCTGCTTGACCAGTACCTGCCTGGGACCAAGTGCTTCTGGGTGGCAGGAGCCAGGCCCGCCTGCCCAGGGTCCACATGGAAGAGGGACATGCAAAGTGATGGTATGGTAGGCATGCCAGCCTGGGGTTCCTGGCACCCAGACCTGTGAGGTGAGGTGTGCCCAGCCCCCGAGGCAGGTGCCGGGTGACTGCCGGACCTGGCCGTGCCCAGGCACGCACACGCCCTCCTGTGTCTGGGCTTGGATCTTCCGGGACAGAGCTGGTGAAAGTGACAGGCGGATGCAGGTGTGAAGAAGGCTTGCGCAGGTCAGACCCTTCCGGAGCACGGCAGGGGACACACGAGGGCCCGTTGTCATGGGCTGTGTGAGGTCGGAGCCCTGCTCCGTTCTGTGTGTAGGAACAGGGCCAGGGAGAGCCCAGAGAACTCGAGAGGAAGAGAGGGACACGAGAATGGCGCTTCTGTGTAATTTATATTCTACTCATGCCAAATTATTTATGACGGTTTGCCTCTGCTGCACTGCACCAGTGTCAGCTACTGCGTCCCGCCCAGCTGTGGGCAGAAGCTTGTCCCTGTGCGGGACACAGGCGCCTGCTTCCAAAGTAGAGGGCAGTGCCTTATGGTCCCTCCACGGGCGGTGCCCCAGTTGTCTGCCCCACCGCCTCGCCTGAAGATGTCCTTTTGTGCACAGCCAGCATTACCTGGGTGACGCCATGGCCCAGCTTTGGCTTCATGGCAAATCCTGAGTGTGCACTGGCTGCACCTGCAGGGCCTCTGTCACTGCTGGGACTGAGGGACAAGGGCGAGGCCACGGAGGAGCAGCAGGGATCTCGGGATGTACAGGCCATGTTCCATGATCCAGTCCTGACCGTGCTAGCCACGTAACCAGCTCAGTCACTTCCCGCTCAGATGCGTGACCCAGGGCCAGGGTTTTCTCGCCTGGTGATCTGTGGTCCAGGGTGTGGGAGAAGCCAGGGTCCCTAGAACTTGACCCAAGTGACAGGTGAGCTGGGTCCCGTGGAAGCCAAGCCTGGATATCCCGCGCCGGGTGCTCTGGGGCGCACGCACCAGCCCGTCGCAGTCGCCCTGAACACTGTCCCCTGCATTCCTCGCAGCGCTCGGGCCAGCTTCCCGGCGACAGGAGCCAAGCCGGCTTTGCACGAGGCTTTGTGAGTTCTGCGGTCTGCCATGAGGGCGGGTGGATGAGCAGATCCAGTCCAGTCACGGTGGGCATGTCTGTGTGTGAGAGCGGGTGAGCCGTTCTGCTTTGTAGCTCCTATCAATTCAAACGCAAGTGCCTCATTTCTGTGCCAAATATTTGCCTTGTTCCCGGTCACAGCCTGACCCTCGGAGGCCCCAAGGCCTTCTGCAATGGCGTCCGATGGGGACAAGGGTACAGGGGTCTGGGCTGTCCCTGCGGTGTCTCAACCTTGCTGGGTCGCAGAGGGCTGCAGGTCAGGCCCCTCGCCCCTCTGCTGCTCGTGAGGGCGCAGGCGTGGTACGCAGCCGTCGGGGCCTCCAAGGAGGTCACTTTACATCCCCAGGAACTGGCTGCATGCGAGCTCCCCAGGGAGCCCATCTCAGAAGGACCGCTACTTGTGTGTTATGTGCCAGTGAGCATGAGACGAGCCAGCTCCCCGACCGTACTTGTGCAGGTGACACACGACGGGCGTGTTTCCAGGGCTGCCGGGGCCCACTGCCCCACGCATAGCGGTGTGTGCTGTGTTAGGTGTAACCGTGGTCAAGCCGCACAGCATGGAGAGCCTCGCACTGGCCCCGACCTGCCTGACCCGTTGGCGCGTGTTTTTACCTTTCTGATACTGTAAAGAGTATATCCAGTATGTAAATGGTCTATAAAGCCTTTGTATAGTCGTTTTCTCTGCTCCTTAATCGTCACTTCTAGGTGGAGTGTAATAAAACGACGAAATTGGTATGGCTCTGTGAGACAGGCCATGCATCTGTGTGCCTGCTGTGTGTGCGTGGGGCGGAGACATGGCTGTGTGTGCTTGGGGCGGAGACGTGGCTGTGTGTGCATGGACACCTGTGCGCTCCGTGGGGCGGGGACGTGGCTGTGTGTGCCTGGGGCGGAGACGTGGCTGTGTGTGCGTGGGGCTGAGACGTGGCTGTGTGTGTGTGGGGGCGGAGACGTGGCTGTGTGTGCGTGGGGCCGAGACGTGGCTGTGTGTGCGTGGGGCCGAGACGTGGCTGTGTGTGCGTGGACACTTGTGCGCTCCGTGGGGCGGAGACGTGGCTGTGTGTGCACGCACCTGTGTGCCTAAGTGTCTGTGAATTGTTACAAACTCACATACCTTTGACCTCAGGAATATTTTTACAGTTCTTCCCTAAGATCTTTGAAAAACCGCGTTCACAGAACTGGAAGTGTTGCTGAGCGTGTGCCTGCACACACAGGCTACAGAAGAACCCACGCGTGTGTCAGCGGAGTAGCAGAAGGCACAGGGCAGGGGGCTCCCCACACCACCCCACGGCTGGGACGGCAGCCCAATCCAAACTAAGAAGTAAGAGGACCTGACTTGTTCAGCCGGGAACCGGGCGGGACAGAAGCGCGCCTGCGGCCCCAGGAAGCACAAGGAAGTGACACAGTATTTTTGACACGACAGCGTTTCTCAAGGGAGGTGAACTCTGACCTCGGTGCAAACACCTGTCAGTAATGAAGGTAGAGACCCTTGGGTGCAGGCCAAGATCCCTGGAGCCTGCGTTTCCAGAGACCCGGGAATGGCAGGAGACATGGCACGGCCAGCCTGCCTTCCCCACGTGCTGGGCAAATCGCCGTGCCCGATGGACACACGAGCTGCCGCTCTGCTGCTCTGACAGTGCTGTCCACCAGAGGCTAAGAAACTACACTGAAGTGAGATTTCCACACTCCCCCCGAGGAGTAAAACAGGGCTCAAGTAGACAGGGAAGGTGCAGGACAGTGCCACGCCCAGCACCAGCACTCACAAGGTCACCGGTTTGAGTCCTGGATGCTCCACTTCAGAGCCAGCTCCCTGCTGGTGGCCTGGGAAAGGAATAGAGGATGGTCTGAGTGCTTAGGCCTCTGCATCCATGTGCGAGACTCAGAAGAAGCTCCTGGCTCCTGGCTCCTGGCTTCTGGCTGGCACAGCTCTGGCTGTTTGGGACATTTGGGGAGTGAGCCAGTAGGCAGATCTCTGTAACTCCACCTTTCACATACATAATTTTTTTTTTTAAAAAAAAAGAACACTAAAAATCATGCTTTATTGCAAAGGCCAGAATAACCACATCAACCATCCAAAAGGTATTCTCAACAGCACTGAATGAGTCCAAGACTCAAAAAGTGTTTCAGTAAAGAAAGACATGAGGAAAGAAAGACATGAGGAAATAGAACACCCAGAAACTAAACCAGAGTCTAGCCAAGTGTGGACTGTCACCCTCAATGTACACAGGCAATGGCAAGCGAGAGGCAGATGGCAGCAGGCAGTGGGGGTTGTCTGCCCTTCACCCAGATTTGAAAGAGCACAGCCTGCAAACACGCGTCAGAACAGCAGGTGTCGCTCTAGTAACGTCAAGGAATTTCCTGGAGTGAATGGGCGACATTGGCAGAGAAGGGCGGGGCGGGGGGGGGGGAAGGACCTTGCCCTGGGGAGCGCCCCAGTCACAGCCGAGACTGGACACTCACCTGCTCTGTTCTGGATATCTGCCGGCCAGGGTCCCCTGCTGGGCAGCATGAAGACACTCTCCATTGTGGCTTTCTAGGCTGCAGCGCTGTCCTGGTGGCTTAACGATGGAATTGTTTGTCACCAGAGGTGCAGACTGTAACACTTTGGAGTGTTCTGATCATGACTGTGTGCAAAAAGCGCATTCAGGTGCGTGGCTCCGCGGCCCGCTGACAGGTGGCAGATGTGGGGGCTGGCCGGAGCCAGGGCGGTCAGAGAGGAGTGGCCTCTTGCCAGCCACAGAGCCTGATGTGACGCCCAGTTAAAGGCCCTGTTTGTGTTTCCACTAGTGCAAACCCCTGGGACTTTGTGTGTGTGTCAGTGGTGGTGGTGGTGGTGGGGTGACAGCAGCCATGGCTCAGGGGACTGGGCTTCTGCCACCCCGTGGTTCCTGACCTTGGCCGTGGCAAATTGTCCAGACATTTGAGCCGCGAGCCAGCAAATGGGCACAGCCCACCTTGCCCCCTCCCTCTCAAGTAAGACAGCAAAAGGAGACCCTGGAGGTATTGAGTCATGATTGCTCCTGCCCCTGGCAGGGATCCCAGCTTTCCCAGCATGGGGACAGTGTCAGAGCAGGGCCTGGAGTCCCCAGGGTGTCTTGGCCATCACCCTCAGTCACCTTGGACAGCAGGTGGGCCAGAGAGCATGGCACCCCCTCCACAGGTGCACAGACAGCAATGGGCGCTGAGTGCCCAGCCGAGAAAAGCCACAGTGTGTGGCCCCCGCAGACAGTACCTCCCACCCTAGGAGAGCGAGCTGACCCTACAGCACATACAGTGGAAGGGAGCTAGCTCTGAGCAGGCAGCGCTTGCCGCTTTGCTCCTGCAGAGCACCATGAGGCTGAAAGTCCCACAGGCCCACAACCAGCGCCAAGGCCACGGGGCGCACGAGCAGCGGGGCCGGAGTCCCACGTGCGCCCACGAACCTGGGCGGTGGCCCCGAGGCTGCGGTGGAGGGAGGCCTGGGTGCACAGGAACCACCGCCAGCCGGCGGGCAGCCGGGACACATACTCCACCTAGTGGACAGGTGCACAGTGAGAGCCAGGGAACTTCAGCAGAGACCTCAATTCCCAAGTTAGGACTCTGGGGTCCTCTCCTCCCTATCTCACCTCCCACCCCTGGCAGCCCTGCAGGTGATGAGTGTGTGAGGCTTATCGTTTGCTTGTTATTTTAAGGAATGCATGTGAGAGGCGGAGATAGGCCACCCATCCTCTGGTTCACTCCCCCAGTGCCCACACCCCAAGTCAGCGGCCAGATGGGAGGGTGACCAGGCTGATGCTGGAGGCAGGGACTCAATCCACCTCTCCCGTGTGGGCAGCGGGAAGCCGCCTGCTGGAATCACCCTCCACTATGTCCCAGCAGAGTCAGGAATGGGGGCTGGGGGAGAGCCCAGGCCTGGCCTTAGAGTGCAGGCATGCCAACCAGTGGGTTACAAAGCCTCCCTGGGTTCTGGATCCAACACAGAGGGGCGTGGCTGTAAGCGGGGCATGCTTGTGCACGCCCCTGTGCAGCTGGGAACCAGGAGGACAGGGTCCCTGGCTGTTCCGTGTCGGTGGCTGCCCATTGCTTATGTAGGGCAGGGCAGCGGCAGCTGGTGCTGGCCCCACTGACTACCCCCGGGAGGGCTCAGGCATGCACCAGCTGCATGTTGCATAGTCCTATCCCAGCAAGGCACTGAGGGCTAGGGGAGGGGGCTGCCCACAGGCCTGGCTTCTTGTTCTTCCCTCTGCCCTGAGGGGCACTTGCCTGTTCAGGGCAGCCCTTGGCCCACTGCCTAACAAGCAGCCCTTCCCAGATACAGCCATGTTCTGGGGCTGGGTATGGCCCAGGCTGTACGTGGTCACTGCCTTCCTACCCCAGCCGGGGCCTGGGTGTTCACGAAGCAGTGGGCACTGGGCAGGCTGCGGCCCTGGGGCTGGGAAGCATTGTATGCCAGCTCTGCAGGGAACGTCACACTTCCATTCCTCAGTGTGCCTTCAATGGCCGCCTGCCTTTTGCTCAATTCGACTGCAGTGGTGGTCCCATCTCAGCCCCCTGCAGATGGGGAGTGCCACTTCCCTCGTGCCCGCCCGTGGCCTTGGGAGTTGTGGTGCCTCGCCAGCTTTGCTTGCTGTCTGTTCATCATCCCCTTTGTTAGGTGTCTGCTTGGAGCTTTGGCCCGTCCTTCCCCAGCTGTTCGCTGTTACCAGTATTGTTAGACCACAGTTCTCTGTGTACCAGGACACATCCCTGGGAATCAGGAATTCCTCATCTGTGGCTTCAGTAAGAATTGGTGGTGTCATGTGCCCAGCCATTTTTGTTAATTTTTATAAAGTTCAGCGTGCCATTTTTTAAAAGAAGACATAGTTACTTGAAAGAGCTGGAGGGAGGGAGAGAGACCCGTCTTCCATGTGCTAGCTCACTCCCTCAAGTCACCACAGCAGCCAGAGATGAGTCAGGAGTCAGGAGCTTCATCCGCGTCTCCCACGCAGGTGCAGGGGTCTAAGCACTTTGTCCGTCTTCTACTGCCATCCCAGGCCAGAAGCAGGGAGCTGGATCAAAAGTGGAGTGGCCAGGACATGAGGGGACACCTGTATGGGATGCTGGCTCCCTGGGTGGAGGCTTGGCACACTTCACTGGCGCTGGTCCCAGCTTTCCCTTTAAGTCTGTGAAGTCGGTGGCTCCCCGGGGTCATACAGATGCCCACCCCTGTCCTCCCAGCACAGCGTGGCCAAGGCTCTGACAGCTCGTGTGGTCGGGCCCTGCCCCCTTGCATCCCGTCAGTTTCACTGCACAAGCACAAACTTCATTGCAGCGCCAGATGCCAGCAGGGACACATGGTACGGAGAAAGGAACTAGAACCCATGGCCCCAGGGGACCATGTGTGCCACGGAGCAAGAACCCAGGGGACCGTGTGTGCCACGGAGCGAGAACCCAGGGGACTGTGTGCCACAGAATGAGAACCCGGGGGACCGGGTATGCAGAGTGAGAATCCAGGGGACCGTGTGTGCCACAGAGTGAGAACCCGGGGGAGCGTGTGTGCCACAGAGCAAGAACCCAGGGGACTGTGTGCCACAGAGTGAGAACCCGGGGGACCATGTGTCACAGAGCGAGAACCCAGGGGACCGTGTGTGCCACAGAATGAGAACCCCAGCTCTGGGGGCTGGAGGAGAGGGCAGGGCTCTCCAGCCTTCAGTCTGCCTTGGCCTGTGCCCCGCTGCGGCCGCTTCATAGGACTTCGCAGTCTGCAAGCACCCTCGGCC